TGATTCCTCGGACATGCTCTCGTTCAGCTCGTCAACCGCGATGAACTTTTCCACTTCTTTATCATCAGCCACCTTTTGGGCTTCTTCGGCGAGCTCCTTCTGTCGCTCGTATCTGATTTTCCATTCTGATACTGAGTTCTCCAGAACACCATGTTGTTGCTCCATCTCGTAGACGTGAGCTTCGAGCGAGTTTATTCTTTTCTGATACTCTTGTTTCTTTTGGAGGATCAGGCACTCTTTTGCTTCCAATGAAGCCTCCAGCTCCCTGATCTGTTTTTTCAGGTTTGAGGTGGGGCTGTTCGGAGATGGAGATCGTACACTGATGATCTTCCCTGTCTGGGTTCGTTCGATCAGGTGTTCCGGTATATCTTTGAACGGTATCATTCCTTCAGCTCGATCAGCCTCTTTCATCGCCGTCTTGAATGACATGTTCATCGTCACATCGTCCTCGGTGAGGTACGAATCTTCATTGCCAAACTTATAACTTCGCATCATCTCTTCATATTGCATGGGACTCTCGAACAGATCCTCGACTGTGACGTCATCGTCGAGTGAGACATCGCCCAACTTCAGCTCATCGAGTTTCTCATCTTTTGACTGTTCAACGAGGTCCGCCTTGACCAATTTGGCATCTTTGATCTGCTCCGATATAACAGGGCTGACGTTGACATCCTTTTGTGATGTCACATCCATCTCCTTAGCTCGTTGTGAGCTCGTTCCTTCTTTGGTGACCTGCTGGTTCACCTCACTGCTTCCCGGCGCCGACATGGGAGATCGTTTCCGGTCGTCGTTGGAGCTCTCCTGACCTGACACTGCTTCGAGTGCCTTTTGGTAGGTCGCATCTGAGCCTCGAGAGTCCTTCCTCTCAAAGGCTTTAGGTGCCCGGGTGCTCCGCTCATGTGCGACTGGACGTGTGTATGGTTTAAGATCCTTTTTATACGGATTAGGTGCGCCTTGCTGAGATCCGCGAGAGCCTCGGCTCCCCTGACTGCTGTTAGATGTCGGTTCAGCGATCTCTTTGTCCATTGTGATGATCGGATAACTGGACGCACCTGTCAGTTTTACTCACACACAAGTTATAGTATAATCGTTATGATCCCTATAGATCACTTTTTAGCTCAGGAGATGAGCTCAGGTTCGTTTTAGGAGATCACTTTTTCAATAAAAAGTTCAATAAGCTCACTTCGGAGATGCTGATGATCGACTATGGATGTCAACTGAGATGCTAAAAGTTCGTTTTGAGATCGTTTCAGGTGAGCTGATCGATTTCAGCTCAGCTCAGATCACCTGTTGCTCAACTCGTTTCAATTAGAATTAGCTCGTTTTAATTCGGAATAGATCGGTTTCGATGAAAAAGTTCATATTTTAAGATCAAATTAGATTATCTCAGCTCATCTGTGGAGGTCATTATCAGCTCAGCTCAAGGTCAGAGATCGATCTCAGGTTCGGTTGGTCAACTTTTTACTCAACTTATTTCGGTTAAAAACAGCTCCTACCAGCTCGTATTAGATCAATTTTGTTGAGAAAAGTTCGTTTAAGATACTTGGGAGCTCGTTATGAGATCGTTTAGTTCGATTTTACCGGTAAAAATTTCAACCAATCACAGCTCATATAACTGACCAATCACGGTAACCCATTAAAATTTTCTGACCTGCCTGACGTCACAGATCGACGACCAGACTTGCGCGCCGAGTGCAAAAGTTCCGCCTCTGTCTAGCTCAGCTCAGTACAGACCAATGAAAATTGCGCTTTATAACGCGCTAACCAATCCAATAATTAATAAGGTATTTTACCTGGTTACCGATCCGATTTCCGCAAAAATGATCCAGATGATCTCGTTTCTTCTCCAAAATCCGATCCCGCGCAGCCGTATTCCGTACGGTTTTGGCGCCTTCCTATTCCGACCTCGTCTGCCTTCTGCTGGGCTTGTCAGGCCTACCAGCAGGTCGCTATACAGCCTATTTTGGTGGAGCGCGTAACTGAACTCTTGGCACCTCCTTCGGTGCTGCCAGCTTGTGGCTTCTCGGCGCCTGTGCCCGACAGCCTTGTCCTCTACAGAGGATCTCGCTGCCTAGCAGTGGTAACAGTACAAGTTCTCCACAGGAGAGACCTGCACCGCGGCCAGCTGCCGTCTGACTCGATGAACACGAGACAAGTTCTCCACAGGAGATACTTGACTCAGTGCTGCCGCTCCTGCTGGCAATCCGGATGAATGCGCCTTGCTGTCGGATGAGGAAAAACCAGTGCCTCACTGGTGCAGTCGATCAAAAGTGGATCGATCCAGATTCCACGTGGCCGTTCGCCAAACAGATCAATATGGCCGTTCGCCAATCGGATAAAACTCGAGCACCGCAGATTACGGGCTCTGCTACCATATAACGTGGTACTCAGAATGAGTCCAGGACAGAGATCCCCACTGACAGGATCCTGCGTAGCGTAATATGCTGAGAAATCTGGATAAATGCGCAACGCACGACATCCACTAGCATACGTACACTTTATTGAGTGTGCAAATCAACTGACTGAACAACTGAATGAACAACTGGCAAATCTGCCAAGCGAAGAGCCAAATCCACGCTCATCGCAGCGCACATAGGCGCGCCCACACAAGGCAAACACAATGGACGGCTTTAGCCGTCAACCAATCAGAAGAGACACAACACAGACACGTCATCCGCATAACGCCACAGGCGTGAGGGTGGACGCGAGTACAGCCATGGCTCACACTATGTATATGTAACATAGGCGAAAAAAATGTTTGTGCGCGCAACATCCGGTTCGGGAGTTATTAATGAAATAAAATTCGAAAAGTTTAAACGCGCGGAGGTGTACCAAAAGTCTCATTATGAACCGATGCTCTTCAAATTTTGCACGAAAACGCACATTACTATGAAGATCGTTTTGGTACCGAACCAGCTTTCACCCAATTTTTTTCAAATTTTAAATTAATTTTTTAAATTTATGCAATTCATTTTAAAATTTGAAAAAAATGGTAAAAAGCTCATTCGGTAACAAAACGATCTTCATAGTAATGTATGTTTTCGTGCAAAATTTAAAGACCATTGGCTCATAATGAGACTCGCGCGTACACCTTCGCGCGTTTAAACTTTTGGAAGTTTATTTTATTAATAACTCTCGAACCGGATGTTGCGCGCGCAAACGGATTACACGCCTACGTATACAAATCCTTTGGCTAAAAAATGCACTATGTACCAGGCCAAATCCCTTAACATGGTAAAAAATGGAGCCTACGAGCAATAAAGCATAGTGCCGATGGCTGGCTTACCTTCTCGTGACGTAGTACCGGAAGTAGGGGTGTCGCGCTTATGCGATCTATTTGGTACCGCAATGCTCTTGGTTAAAATCCGGCCGTCCGTCAAGAGCTGTCCTACCCGGTAGACATTTTCGGCAAGCTTTGTCTAGTTAGCCGTAGCAACCAAAGCACCCACATGCGTATTGTATGTTTGGTCAGGAGGTGAATGATGTAATGGACTGCAAAACTGAGTAGACGCTGGCCGAATTAGCCGCTGTAACCGATGGCGCAACTGATCCAGTCCGATGTCTATTCAATTTTGCAGTCCATTGCAGTTTGAATTGTAATCAAGACGGCCGGCATGAGGCTTCCAGATCACAATTCCAGTCACCATTCAGTTTCAGTACCGTAAATTTTGCCCACCCAGATTTTTCTTGTCTTTTTCTTGTCTTTACCAGCGGCAGATAATGCAAAATTTTGTACCGGATATTGTGTCTCCAAATCAACTTCAGCCGGCCATGGTGTACGGCACAAAAATTTTGCCCGATTAATAGCGGACAACAAAAAGAGAAAACAAATTGAGAAAATTTATCTCGGTACTGTTGTAGAGGAAATTAAGCTGGGGTTTTCCTTAAATTAAGTTTTGACCTTGGAATGGTGTCTCGCATACGTATAGCCTAACTGTTTGCTTATAAACTCAACTCTGAAAATAAAATCTTAAAAGAAAATTTAAAAGTAAATCGCTGTGCTTTATCCGGGCTTTAATCGCCTCGACTACCGCTAGCGCATGCCCAGATTCAGTAGGAAAGCATTTTGGGAGGACATAATTAATTTTTTCTTTGTTTCGCAATAATTACGAAGCTGCCTTGGGCAACTCGTCCTATTGCTAACTCTCGTAGTATAAAAATATCTTTTTCTGACTTTCAGATGGAGACCTGGCTGACTATTTAACGGATTTGAAAGCAAAAAAGATCAGTTTAGAACCGGCAACCGCGGTGCGCCATGCAGTGGAACTTAGTAAAGGTGTGGCCTTCCTACATGAAAACAACATTATACACTGCGATCTGAAACCAGCGAATATCCTTGTGAAACCGATTCAAAATAACCATAAGAGGATGTCAATAGGCGATTTGGACGGATTTATTCGAATGCAGGATAGTATAACATCTCCAGACGATGTCACCCATTATCAAGGCACATATCGCTACATGTCTCCCGAAATGTACAAACGGTTCGTAGGATCTCCAACAGTCCCCAAGGATCCTGACACCCATACTGGGCGAAAAATGGACATCTGGAGCCTAGGGTGTGTTATTCACGACCTTGCAGACAGTGTCATTGGTAACACAAGAAGGTGGCTGGAAAAGAGTGAAGCCGGAGTTTCCAGCAAGATTGAAGTCATCGGTAGAAATTGTACACAGGACGCATTAGCAGAAAATCTTTTAAGCGGTTATGTGCCGGAAGTGTCTGACGCTATCCCAAGCAACTTAGCCACTTGCATTCGACGGTGCTTATGCTCGGACAGCACCAATAGAATTTCTGTCGAGGAGCTGCTGGAAATGCTTCTTGAAGTCGACAAGAGGACTACAAAAACCATCATTATGCTTTTCCACTGCTCTGCACGCCCTCCTCTTAAAGTGTCAATGGAATATTTCGACCCCAACAGCGGCACATTACACCAGTTTTTGATGCCTTCAGAGTTACGGAAAACAAATTTTGTGCATGCTTTTGCGGCTGTGGGTAACGATATTATTTGCCAGATTCGTTCATCAAACGACAATGGAACGGAGACCGTAGCACTGGATGCATCAAAATTAACAACTCCTGGTTGGCGAAGTATTCCAGTGACTGATAAAGCAATCTTCATGACTGAACCTATCGGTCTAGAAAATAAATTGTATTTTTGGGACACGAAAGATGGGAATTCTTATTTCAAAATACTGGACATGACCGACCCCAACTGGCCCAGTGTATCCGATATCCAAGGATCCGAACGGTATGTGAGAACCCGCCGAAAAAAGTGTTGTATTTAAGGATTAGTTTACCGGTCGCTATTTTCTATGGGTTTTATGGGCAACATTTTAAATCGGGAAGGGTTTTATAAAATTATCCATTGCTTACTGGACGCGTTAATCTCGTTACACGTTAATCTGGACGCGTTAATCTCGTACATTTGATTCTTATTCTAAATCCCGGAGGGCAGGCCGTCCAACTCTGTACAGAAATGTGCTCCACCCACATCATTGTTGCAATATTCGTGCTGGTAATATATTCTAATAACACTGAGCGGCTCAGCAAAGCCTAGCTGCCAAGCCCGCAGAAGCAATTCGATAATATATTGTAAGAGTTTGAGACATTTCCGTCTGCTTGGCCCCATCCTCAAGATTATCCAGAAGATTACCAAGCGTACGCGTTTCACCAGATAAAGTGGCCCATCCCAACGCAATGTCGACCCCCGTATCCGGAGAGCTGCGTGCCCTTCCTACAGCCTGTCTAGCTAGGAAACCTTGCTGGAATCAAAATCAGCGTCGCACCACTGCATTCCAAATCAGCGTCGCTCAACGAATAGCTGGTCCATCGTGACTGTATATGTCTGTATTTTATGCTCAGGCTGATGAACTGGGTAGACTCAACTGCCTCCGCTGTAAAGATCCTGCCAGAAGTCTACCCAGGCACGATGAACTAACCGCTGACTAGCCGTGGTTTAAAAACCGCTGGGTTTCCTTCCAGAACAGAGCCAAAGGGATTGTCAACAACGTCATCACGTTGATGCCTTCAGACCATGGGAGCCTCTTGCCGTTAGTGTTATGTGGGTGGATACCTTAGCCGTCACGTCATCGACCGCACCTCCACAACGGCCGGAGCGGTCGCTGAAACCGCACAACATGTTGAGGGAATAATGCAAGCTTAGCAAATGCAAGGTACAACATCGTTCCGGCTGCGTTGCAAATATACGGGCACCCCGATATTTCGCCGAGGACAACTAGTCGCAGGACGTTTGGTCGCAGACTTTCCACAGCAAGGTCATCTCGCCGCGCGACGTTTTGCCACGGGACATTTACAGTGAAACTCCTCTTAACATTCACCTTCCTATAACATTCACCCCTTTACTGCATGCATGAGGCTGGAAACCAAACCGTCCGGTAGACTATAACACAGGGGCAGTTCCCTGTATAACATTCACCCCTTTACAGCTATAACATACACCTTTTATGGAACCGGTAACATTTTACCAGCTTATTCAACCCCTGCGTAACATACGGTTGGCTAGGCTAGGTAAAAAAACCATTTCGGTGTCTCTAAAAGCAAGTTTCGGCTTCTGTTTTTGATCTGTTTAGTACTGGATCTTCCAACTCCAAGCGTACAAAAGGGCAGCAAAACCAACATTCAGACCGAATAATGTCCATACTCTGATATTTTGTTAATTTTTTGGTTAAGGAACACCCCCGGGGGCTGTGCCCCGGCGCCCCTGAGGGCAGTGCCCCTGGGGGCAGTGCTTCTGTATAACATACACCCCTCTGTAACATTCAGAAAGCCTGGAACGGAGGGTGTATGTTGTAGAGAATTTCACTGTAGTAGGCAGGACATCACGCCTGCGAGACATTTCGTCGCAAGGCTCTTTCAACGCTGAGACATTTCGCCGCGAGGCTATTTCGCCAAATAGTCTTTTTTAGCAGTCAAACTCTCTATCATGCTTATTGAAATTGTCAGGGACAGCTAAGAAAAATTCAGGAAACCAAAAGAAACTGACTAAGAAAAAATTGAGGGGTCCAAAAAAGTACGAAGAATAAGAACCAAAAAAGAAACCTACGAAAAGCCTAAGAATAACATATGAAGCATGAGAATAACCTAAGAATAACCTGGAAATAACCTGAACATAGCCTAATCATAACCTAAGAATAACCTAAAAAATCTGAGGACAACTTAAGAAAACCTTAAAAACAACCTAATAAAACCTAAGAATAACCCAAGAAACTAAAGAAAATCTTCAAACAAACACTGAAAACCCGCGAAAATTAAACGTGTGGAATTCTTTTGAGCCGAAGTGTCTGCGACCAGACGTGCTGCCTCAAGATGGCACAAAGGTAAAATGTCTCAATGCAAATTGTCCCAAACCAAAGTGTCCCAGCGTCAAAATGTCCCGCGGCGACATGTCTTTGCGGTGAAAAGTCGTGCGTCGAATTTAATTGCGGCAAAATGTCACACTCCTTAATGTCCGGGTGCGAAATATACGGCCCACTGGGCGAAGGCGTTAAAAGTGTTGTTGACCGTAACGGCCGTGGAATAGCTCTTTCGACCGGTCAGCCCCGATCCAAAGAGTTTCCCGGCAGCGTTTTTTGATCAACATTCAAAGAGGAACCGTGGTGTGTATAATGGGCACGTTGCCGGGAACGGAAAACGAAGCAGAATTGGTCTTGTTATTAATAATATTACTCGGTATACAATAGTAGATAGTCCAGTAAAACTCGTACAAGTATGTTTTTCTTGTAAACAGGATGCAACACGTCAGCCATGTAGCTCGATATGGCAACAAACTGATTTACATCGGAAGTCCGAATTCATTTGAAAGCCCACAGTTTGTGGAATGCTATAACACGGAAACTGGAACGTGGAAACCTAAACCTCTAGGGCAGCTGCCAGAAAAGCGTACAGGATTTGCGCTTGTTGTTGTGAAGGCTGACATTTACATTCTCGGAGGCAGTAGTGATGTGCACAATGGCAGTCAGCCGCTGAAATCATGTTTGCGATTAAACAACAGAACCAGCCAGTGGGAACCAATAAGCGACATGTTATGCAACCGGACGGATCACTGCGCCTTTGTTTCGGAGAGCCGAATTCATGTTTACGGAGGTCGAGTCAACGGAACAGACGAACTATCGCAAACAATGGAGGTCTACGATATAAAGCAAAATTCATGGTCCCGTTTTCATCTGACGGACTTGGAAGATATTGATAAGGATCCTAGCCTTAATGTTTCGTACGCTGTTCGAGTATCGCTAAATTCCGTATCCAATGTACTTACTAGAGACTAGAGAGTCGGCGCCTGAGACATTCCGCTAACAGTTTTTGTAACTCCTTTTAACTATATGCATTTCATCAGCTTTAGGAAGAGGCATTTCCATAGTTAATTTGCCATGATAATCGGTTATGCAAAATATCATTAATGTACGGTAGTATCCCTTTTGTTTCGTAATTATGTTATGATTGTTTTCGCCATATTTCGATTTGTGATTTTGGTTCTATTACTATACATTATTCCGCACTAGCGGAATTCGCAGATAGTGTACGGTAGGTAGATATTCTGTCATTACAATCTACATAAAACAATTAACCATTCTTCCACTAGAAACAATTTTCGAATCGTACCAGACCGAATTTTGTGGTGGCATTACACAGTATTTCCTACCATGCGAAGATAAGGCTTCTTAATTACAATTAATTCCCTATTCGCGTGCTTCTCAATAACGGTCTCGAGGCGGTGCTACTAAGTTGAGATATATCGACGGCTGGCTACGCGACAGGTCGTCGCGGGACATTTGGTTTTACGGGCATATCGTCTAAGGACAACTCGTTTTTGTGGCAAATATTCATATGACTGTTCGTCACCACAAACCAGTCGATATGTTTTCGACTCCCCAAAAGTCGCGCTACCAAATGTCACACAATAAAACGGCTCAGAACGAGTTGTCCCAAAACAAATTAGCCGCTGCGACGAAAAAGTGTGCCGAAATGTCCCGCGACGAAATGTCCGGCGACCACTTAGGTTGTCACGCGACGGGCTACCTGAATAAATTATTCAAATTATTCGACATGGCTGTTATAATTTAGTTCACCTCTGCAACCGTAAGACTGGAATATGAAATGCAGCTTGATATTCGGGCTCGTGGCGATCACCGCGCGCATTAGATTTTCATACACGAAGGCTAGGGACCTTCAGTTATGGGCCAATCGCTCAAAGTTAAGGACTTTTAGACAAGACAGTTAAACGCGATAGCTTTCGTACGTACGCTTACGGCCCAGTTTTACGATTACTACGATTCCTTTTTGAAGATGTTGATATACACATTCAATGCCCAAAAATTTGTACTAGCCAACGCCATTTGCAAAAGAACAACTTGAATAACCGATATCCAGAACAAGTAAACTACAGTAACTCTTCTAGCTCTCTAGAACATCCAACCGTTTCCCAAACAGTTGAATCCCGCCAGTTCCCAGTTTCCCCGCGCTGAATTTCCACACTAATACGCTGCCACAAAAAATCGGTAGCGAGCGCTTCTACTGTTTGCTCTTTAATGCGATGACAAGCTTCACTGATGAACTGACCCGTACTCCCGCCGCAACTTCCCATAGTTTCAAGGATGAGTGGTTGGAAAAAGCGTCTATCAGTGAGCTCCGAGTAAAGCTCTTTCGAGTTTCCGCGTCATCGGCTGCAGATCCCACAACTTCTAACGGCCTGCGCTGAAAGTCTGAATCTGAATCTGATTCTGAATGCTAAAAGTCTGAGTCTGAATACTAAAAGTCTGATTCTGATTCCTGGAACTCTGAATCTGAATACTAAACTCTGCATCTGAATAATAAGTCTGGCAGATAACGACCCGAGTCTGTCATCAAAATTAATATAACGTAGTCGTGTTAAGACTCGTATACGTAGAAAAGTATTAATTGCGTATTAATACTCGTATACGTATTCTCGTATAAGTATATTAATACCCGTTACTCGTATACGTATGAATAGCTCGTATACGTAAGTAACAGTTATGTATACGAGTAATTATAGATTAGTATTAGGCGGTGGGAAGTTGGAACTGCTCGTAAAAAACAACACGGGGCGCTTTACAGAGACGTTACGAATACGTTTTTGCGGTAAAAAAATATTGTTCTGCGTCCAGTGTGGGATGAGATAGCAGGTAATTCCTCTGAATTTACCGAACGAGCCTGTGCCAGCATAATATACGCCCATGTAAATGTGCTGTTATGTTGCATACTGCACAGAGTAAGGGGAATACACGTATGCAGTAATATACGTTCCATTTCCGACTTAATCCAGCTGCAAACGTGCTACTTTATGAGCTCACATGATCTGCCTTCCTTTGAAACAACTTGTATCAGTTATTTGCTAGCTGCATTTTTCTTACATTATATTGGTCGATGTTTCCAATTTTGTCGTTTGATAAGCTTTGCCGGCTATCCAGAAAATAACTGGTAAAACAAAATTAGTAATCCAGCAAATCTGGTCTGAACTGATCAATTTATACCAAATCCGGATGTAATGGGTTTTACAAAGTTTATAATTACTGCACTTTATCGCAGATGTTAACGTACGGTAGCCATCACAAATGAAACCACCAAATGAGTGTGCGGAAAAGACTGAAAACGCATTCATTGGTCCATCAATAGCACCTGATTAACCGATCAAAGTATCGCGCAGTTTCACGCTGAACCGCAAGGCATATTCCATCGATTTGCCTTCTACAGTAGATCTGGAAGTACTGTGATTGCTTTTCAACGCGTCTCATCATTCTTTTTTTGCGGTACTTTGCGCAAACGGCGAACAACGATGTGACCTTGAAAATATTTTTGTATGATTATGTACTCTGTATTGCTGTTAACACTTTAGATATGAATAAATGGAATGTGTGAGTACTGCATATGTGTACTCCCCTTACTCTATGCACATTATGCAACATAGCAGCACATTTACATGGGCGTATATTATGCTGGCACAGGCCCGTTCGGTAAATTCAAAGGAATTTCCTGCTAGCTCATCCTACACTGGACACAGAACAATATTTTTTTACCGCAAAAACGTATTCGTAACGTCTCTGTAGAGCGCCCCGTGTTGTTTTTTACGAGCAGTTCCCACCGCCTAATACTAATCTATAATTACTCGTATACATAACTGTTATCTACGTATACGACCTATTAATACGTATACGAGTAACGGGTATTAATATACGTATACGAGTATTAATACGCAATTAATACTTTTCTACGTATACGAGTCTTAACACGACTACGTTATATTAATTTTGATGACAGACTCGGGTCGTTACCTGCCAGACTTATTATTCAGATGCAGAGTTTAGTATTCAGATTCAGAGTTCCAGGAATCAGAATCAGACTTTTAGTATTCAGACTCAGACTTTTAGCATTCAGAATCAGATTCAGATTCAGACTTTCAGCGCAGGCCACTTCTAACTGCAACGTAGCGAACGTATCACCTGCGTGCAACTTATTGAACGTATCACCTAGATACCTACCGTCACATCCCAAATCAGAGGAAGGCCAGTTTGCCAGGGAAAGAGCGATAATCCATCTGGCCGTTTCCCATCCGATCTCCTTAGCCCCGGAGGTTCCAGGATCGTCGGCACATTTGCTGAACCCAGGCTGCGCTGGAGTTTAGCACGTAAGTCTACGGAGAAAATAACTAAAGCTTCAACGACTGTTCCAGCTATTTTGCGGAGAGCGAACATGTTGCAAAGCGAATCGCCGTCATCTGGAATTAATCTCACTGGCTCAAGTTAAAATGACGTGTGTCGAGGATGCCGGTATGACGTATATGACGTTGTATCCGCTGGCGCGAGACGTCCTTATCTGTTCACGACCGTCTAATTAACTGCTACCGTACGCCAGGTGGTCGACGCGGTGGTCTAAGTACATTATAGAATAGGATAATACTGTGACGATAGCATTTCTGTCCCGCCCAGTTTTAATTATTCATAATTCCATCGCCTTATGAATTCTGACCATTTTACCTGCCAGGCTGCCACCTGTCTTCGGCTGTGAATTCCTAGAATCCCTAGAATTCGGTCTTGCACCCCCCTGTACTCCTTTCTGGTACACATCAATGCATTTCACCTTTTCGCCCATTTTAGTACGCCATATCTCGGCAAACGAATGTTGCGCGCGCAAACGGTTTCAGAACGATGTACACAAATCATTTATCTTTAAAATGGCACAAAGTATGTATTACAAAAAAGTGATTCGGAGTGCGCGAAATCGAAAGTTAATGTACGTATCCCATTTTCGTTTTAATGTACGTATCCCATTTTGACGCTGTGTACTGGGCCAATTCTCTATCGACTCTTGTATAATTTAAAATGGCGTAATGTGATTAAAACTTCACCTTAAGTTTTCTGCATGCCCTGTCATTAAACATGCCATGAATTGGTGTTGCTGCGTTCGAGTGCTGCGTGGGGTGACAGCAGAATAATAATTATTGTACGAGTATTACCGTATTACGAGCGTCCTCAGCGTGTCGTTGCCGGCCATGCCACCTTTTGCCCCCACTGCCGCATAATAGTGGTAAAGACGCAAAGCCAATCAGAAGCAGCAGCAGAGTTTTATTCAAAAGCTTGTCCGGATTGTATCTTTGTAAGTTGTGATGATAAAAACTGATATAGCACAACAGCACTTAATGCAGGATCCTGATCGTTGTAGACGTTAAGATAAATGAAGAAACAAACATAGAGTAAAAAAAAGACATAAACACCCATGATTCTCAAACGATTTTTTTCAGGATGTCATTGGAGAGAAAAGGGCCGCATTGGATTTTTATCTCTGCCTTGCGGGTGACAAATTGCGAACTCTCCTTGAAAGCCACATCGGGGAACATCGGGCGGCAGTACTTTCGTTGGCCAGTATAATGGTCCTGTGGCCACCATCGAGTCGCTTATGGCCGTATATGTGCAAAAATTCTGAAAGCAAACGGAAAGCCAAACTAAAACAATGTTTGTACTGTAATGTTTTATTGAACAACCGAATTAAGGGATTTGGCCCGGCACATAGCACCCAATTCGTGTATATCCACGAAAACTTTCGCTGTCTGGCCCTCCGAGACAGTTTTTGCATTGCTTTATGTTGTTCTATAGGCAGAGCATTGGCATTGTTCACGAAGGTGAGAAATCTGTTTGCGCGCACAACATCCGGTCGAAGACTCGAAATGTTATAGGCGAACCAGAATCCTGAAAAGTTTAAATGCACTCAGGAATACCAAAAGTCACATTATGGACCGATCTCCTTTGAATTTTGCACGTGCATGCACATAGCCATGAATATCGTTCTACATCGACCCAGTGTTGCGGCATGTTTAGCAAATTTTAAAATTAATTTTAAAAATTTTAAAATCATTTCAAAATTTGAAAAAAATCGTGGAAGTCTGGATCGGTGTAAGAATGATCGTCATGCTCATGTGCACTTACATGCAAAATTTGAAGGAGACCGGTCCATAACGGAACTTTTCGTACACCTAAATGCATTGAAAGTGTTTGGAATTTTGTAACCCTGATAACTCCGCAGTCGGATGTTGCCCGCGAAAACGGATTTCACGCCTACGTGAACAAATCCTCTGGCTACAAAATTACATAAATCAATGCAAAAAAGTGTCTGGGAGTGCGCGACAGTGGAATGTACACGTATATGGTGCTATGTACCGGGTCAATTCCCTTAAATCAATATTAAATTCTGTACTATTTAATGATAATTTCAAGTATACTTGTAAGTTGTATCACGAATAAACCTTCTTAGCTACAATAGATAATTCTAGTCTTACCACTATACATATAACTCTTGCGGTACATCTAGCACCGATATGACATAGTATTTAATAATTATGATTGGCTGGCATCGCTAGCATGCACAATTATGAGGATTTTCCGACAACAATTGCGCATAATTGAATAATTTTTGGCTTTTAACTATCATTTGCTCAGTTTTAATCCGACCTCCTGTGTTTCCACGTCGATAATGGCTTAATTACAGGTTTACCTCAAATCTTCCGGTAGCGGGATTAAAACTTTTGACGACGTAATCCGATTGCCGATCGCCCACGGCATCAATCCACACGTCTCCGCTAATAGGACTGGAGAAGATAAAGTTGCGCATCATGCCCGATACTTTCACACCATCGTAAATATTGCCGCCGGATGTAATGATTTTATTCATTATTATACTGTATAACAGCGTCGCATCGTAGAAACTCGTCACGACAGGGTCAATCTAAAACCAAAAAATGCACGCGATAGCTGCAGTATGACGAATGCTTATGGTTTCACAGATGGGTGACCGCTCCGTACTTCTTCAAAAGCCCCGAAAGTGTAGTTCAGAGTCTTCCTGGCGAGGCGTTTAACATTCGTGGAAAAGGTTTCGTAATAATCGTTTCGGACTTGGTGGAGCGCGACTAACAGTACGGATTCGTAGGCTTGTTTGGCTTCCCATCGTAATAAGTTTCTTAACTGCAAAATCATTTTCTTGAAAAAATTATAATCGTAAGGCATACATTTACCCTGTCACTCTCATCTCCAAAACTCCACGTAAACTTCCCCCAGCTTGGACTGTCAAATAGTTCGATAGCAATATAAACCTGAATATAAAATGCACGGTTACTTCCTTTAATTATTTTACTTTAGTAGAATATACAATAAACAGATATTCGGTGTGAATTATCACAATTTATTAATTATTACAAATTAGGCTAATTTTTGTAAGTTGTTAATTTGCAAAAGATTAAGAGTAGTACTACGCCAGCCGAACTATTTATGCAATATTCAGCTACATACGTACGTATTGTCCATTGGTCATGCCTAATCTTTGAGCAGTAATCTAAAAATCAAAGCCATAGCTATTTTTAACTGTTTTAACAGTTTTAAAAAATACCGTTTTAAACTGGTTCAGCATTCAATGAGAGATCGATAGCAAAATTTTCTCAATAGTTACCATCAGTGTTCGGAGAACGGTGGCATTTGATAGTACAACAAACACTACAATCAAAGGATAATTCTGTTAGCCATGCACTTTCGGACCTGCCTTTTGAAAAGGCGAGTTAATCACACAGCGGACGCCATAAATGAGTGGAACGGGTAACTTAAATTAACTACTCGTACTGTCGTACTTACAGTATATTACACAGCTCATGGATAATTGGGATTTTACCGTGAATTTTTGCATGGTTTCATTCCCGGCGTAACCTACCTCTGGACGACTGATTACCCGTTGACAGCATACGCTCATACTGTTCAATTGTTGCATCCCGGCTGCGAAAGGGATACGCGGTGACGGTGCGTATGACATCGGTGCGCTTACGGATCTCACGGTTAAATACCGCGGTAAGCTCTTCAAAAAAGCTGTCAGACTCATCTTGGACGACAAACACATGTTTATAGGCATGATGTTTTAAGAATCGGAAGATCACGTTGATGGTGTTTTTATGCGTGAAACTCATTCGCGTGGCCATTATGTACTGCTCTCGATCGGATTCCGCTGCAAAGCCGGCAGCCGGACAACCCATCATGGGGATCCGCATAAATTCCACCAGGTTGTACAGACTGTCCGCACTGTATCCACAACCTGGAAAATTGTGCTTCTTCATTACGAGTATGCAGTTAAATGTGCATTATGCATTTGTTAAATTATCAGCCTTGGGTAATCGGTACTCATGGGAGCACCTCTTACCGTCTTACGCCAAATTTGTATCGCCTCGGCCTACTTTAAAATACTGTACATGCCAATATAGTTCCATGTGTTTTCATAAATTTATTTATGGAGAAGTTTAAAATTCGAGTACCTATAATTCGAGCACATTATAAATTAGACTCCAGTTATACAAAAATAATAATACTGTAACACTAACCCCGCCAAATAACGAATGCTATTCGGTGAGGGCAAAACATAGAAGGTAATGAAGTGGTTTTCAATTACCACCATTTCTTCCGAATGAGACGGATTTACTTTTATTTACGTATTAACCTGTGCGCTCGGTGTTCACTGCATCTGCGTACCAGTGATATTATACAGCACGTCTGCGAAATCGCTCCTCTGTGTACTGTACATGTAATGTAAATTTAGCTGTTAATTGCGATATCATTAGCCATTATCAGCAACCACTAGAGAAATAGGAATTACTGATACGAAAATTTCGAATTACGCATTGAGTCAGCAGATCACAACGTTATATAAAAAATATCAGCAGCACTTGAGAGATTATTAGCATAAATGACTCCTTGCCGTTGTGATTATAGGGGAGCATCTTGGGCAGCGGAAACACGTACCTGGACCAAGGAAGGCATTGCAGTTGATCCCGGCGGACAGTATTTGCAGGGCATATTTAACAATATCGTTTTTCTTATCACAGTTCTTCCCAATATCTTTGTAGAAGGTCTGCAGCTGGTATCCGCCGGATAAGATATGCTGATTAACATGATCGACAGCCAATTGAATGGCGGCTGCTACCCGATCATAATCGTAGATGGCCGACTTATCTCCGTGGGAGCGTTCAATCAGTAGGCACAAGGTAATATTGCGATTACTGGGATCCGGCGTCGGTGTGACGCCAACGGGATAGGAGGAGGTGTACGTTCCCTGCGTGCTGTTATCAGCGCTGATATCACGGCCGACAATGGAAGAACTGGGAAGCGGGACAGAAATGGATGACTGCGCTGAGGTGCAAAAAGATAAGTATCCAAAAACACAATATAAATGTGCAATCAACCGCATTTCTCACGATACTGACAAATCGCAGCGGATGCAGTACCAGTAAATATAACACATAGCGTATTCCGAGAAGTATTTAGAAGTGACAGCACACTGATCACAGCACGATGATACTAGCTGTAATATTCCGCTGTTGCAATAATATGAATAATTTGTCCTAGAGCGAATCCGTGTTTACAGTGAAAGTGCTTACATAATGCTACAGAGTACCGCGTGGAATGTCAGACGTTGCAGACTTATCGTGAGTTAGTGTTCATGTTCAACAAAAATTTGTCACCACGCACAAGACTCCAAATAAAACAGATCGAGCAATTATATAATACATTTAATGTTTGTATATTGTAATGAGTACTTTCTAGTCAAAAGACTGGAAACCGCTTCAAGTTACTTTACATAGAAGTATACTGTTTTTTATTTTCCGCTAACTCAGACCTAACAGGACAAGTAATTTTTACATACGTTGGCAAGTGACGCAAAAACCATGGCAGTTGCTGGTAAACTATTGATGCATGGACGACGGCTGCTGCTTGAAATACTGTATGGACTCCTCAGCTCTTTGTTTCACCACAAGGACGATATATTTTTCGGCATTCCTAGTGCATATAATTATGTAGGTATCAGTACGGGATGCAGCTCAACACGGGCAGATAATTCAAGCGGAAAAAGCGGAAATTCTATTACAAGCGGAAAAAGCGAATGTCAACAGCTCTTTCAGCATAGAAATTGTGTCGTCTTCACACATACAAAATTGTAGACTGTAAATGTAAAAACCTGGAAGAACATGCGTTCACATGTATTTTTCATCCTCTCCATTCTTAGTGCCGCTACCGCATGAAGTACTGCACTTACCGTACTTGATATTTTTATAATTTAATCAGCGGGAGCAAAAACCAGCCAATCGAACACAATTTTTATCGATAGAACATTAAAAAGGGGGAAAAGCAAAACCTGCAAAATGGTGGTAACACAATTACTTTTCCACTGCACACGTTTGTTTCGGCCACCGCAAGAATACTGTAATCGGAGTCAGTCTCGGAATCAGTCCCTTTGGTTTTCCTTAGAAAATGTCTGTGGAAGAGGCTGACACGTCCGCTGGCGGCTCTGAAACGCTTGAACCAAGGCTCTCAGCGCTGAAGAGAAAATGTTTTTGTGCACGTTTTACTATCAGTACACGTACATACAGAATTCCCACAAAAAATGGACCGGCACCTTTTAGCGCACAGCATGCTACACATAACAGTAACATCAGATTCGTCGGAAGAGGAAATTAGTATGAAGTTCTCATTACTTTGTACAAGAAGTCCGAATTTTTATCGTATTTTCCGGACAGTTGGAAAAATGGATCCGTGCTCACTAAATTTTTGCTCGGCGTAATTTTGTTCTAGTAAAGCGCTACTGGTAAAAAAGTCACTATTAGGCAATAACCGCAAGGATAGCAACCCGCAAGAAAAAAGCAATAACGGTATAGTTAATACTACTTTACAGTTCAGATCTTGAGAATATTAGCTGCACCAGCTTCAGCTTTAAAGTACAACGGTTATCATCGTGGTAATCGTCATCAACGTGGTAGTACAACGGTTATCATCGTGGGTCGGTTACCATCCTAGGTTGAACAAGAAGGAAGTTTGCTAATTTTGTTGTGCTAATGCAGTCATAAAGAGCACATTACACTTTCGAGTTATACCACATAGTTTCTGCTACAGAATAACATCGCCGATTTTTAAGTGAACTGAAAGATTAAAGGTTAGTAGTTCATGACTCTACAGCAAGATCGCCAAAGGTGTTAGCCGAGCAGGCCGTAAATTATATGCGCAGTACGAGCGACATCAACTACTACAACGAAAAAGAACCAGAGAGACATTGTTAAACCACACAACCATATGCACAAAAATATAGTACTCGTACAAAACCACAATCCGGTCTCAGAATCTGGTGATTCATTCCGCATGACACACATCCGCAGACACAAAGCTGTACCAATCATTCCAACAATCTGAGCCACCGCAAGCGCTAAACCAATAATGGCGTGATGATATTCATCTTTTCTGTATCCCCACCCTTCAACCTGCGATCGAAGGCAGGTGGAACCGTAATTTCCTCCTATAAAGCAGCACGGATGTACATCAAACAGAGTACGAGACATAAACGTCATAGAAAGCGAAAACTGTACCTGAGTCAAGGCCACAGTGAACAGAAAAGCAGAATTTCCGCAGTTTAGTGTCCTTGGTGTCGTTAGGCGATACAGTATTCCAGTCGTATGTTACCGAACCGTTGGTAACCGCGCCGATCCACGGCTCCACGGTAAAATTGTTTTTGGGAATCGTAACGGTTGCATTCTTATAGGTCAAATATCCGCTTCCATCTTCGTAACCTTAACCAGTAATAAAGGTACAGGCAAAGCGATATTAGCGCGCAGTTGGCACCTGAATGAGGGCCACTGCACTACGGTTATCGAACTGCATAACTGACTAACTGCGCTCCGCAGTTAGGTTTTGCCTTACTGCACGCCCGTTTTCCAGCCACATTCCGCCAGACAATTACAGTTAGTCTCATTAAAGATATCTGGCGTGCACCAAACCACCAGTCAGCCAAATGCCTATTACGAGCTTAAACATCGTGGCGCGGCGCATCGTAGTATGGAGTTCAGCGTAAGCCGTAAATTTGTAACGTTCGCTGCAGTTACGAATGCTCTCAATTTGTCGACAATCTTGTCATTCAAAGCAAATCTCGCTATGGTACGGTGGCTCAACCGCATGAGGTGGCTGTTTGCAGTGGCCACGCCTACAGATATGGTACGCGAAGCCGCCTCGCAAGGTGCAGCTGCTGTATCGACGCAACTAGATTCGCTTCGAATCTGAGACTCACCTAACGCTCGGTATTCACGGAGTAACGCTCGCTACCAACTTAGCAACAGGCAGTGCCGTGACCGCTGTATTACCTTATGCTTAACGAGCGTGCTTATTTGGAAGTGTTATCCAGCGCCTGCACTGTTCTCTGTTGTGCAATTGAAAATCGCTGTAATTTATTGGGGTCCCAATTAACGCCAGAGCAGCCGCCACGCCGCTGCAACAGCCAGGTGCACCGGCTAAAAGTCGAGACACCCCCGGAAGACTTACATGCAGTGTCTGTCATAAGGATGGTCCAGGTGGCCAGCGCGCCTTGCAGGATCACCCACAGGATGTACAGTAGGAGCACTGTACCAGCGATAACAAAAGAGTCAGCATCAGCTGACCACAGCCTACAGCCAGTACGCTTCCAACACAGGCGGCGTAGTTTAAAGCATCGTCGACGGCAGTCTTCCGTTCGCAAAGTGACATTATTTCCAACGTGATGTTGCGCTGGGTGACGTGAGGTTTCTTGAGTAGCGCTCTGGTTTTCCCTTGCACCACGTCCAAGAGGCCGCATTCGTACTGGGTCGCCAACTTACATAGCAGCGATGCTGGACCTGGAGGACGCGCTTCGCTATCGTCGTTGACAGCGATGTGGAAGGGCGCCACCCGCGGAGTGACTGCCTGGGCGGGCGCGTTTGCATCTGGCTCCACTGCAGTGGTAGAAAGGATGGTGCTCATTTTTATTCAAATTGTGATATCCGCTTATGGAAGCCCAGATAACGCGGAAATAATTACTTTCTCCATAGTACTCGTATATTTCACAAATGAAGTACTCGTATACTTGACTATTTTGAAGACTCCGTTGTTTGTTTTATGATGAAATTTGTTGCTGCATCCCATCATCTGCGAGCTCGTGTTTTCTCATACACGCAGTCGTTAGGCTATCTCACCGTGGATGGCTGCGGGCAAATTGATTTTTTATACACGACATAGCAAACATGCTCTTTAGCAAGTCTCACGCATGGACGCTTAATGTTGTGGATATAGAAAACTAGAACTACAGGAAATTATTACAGCCGCCATTACAGGCGCTCAGAATGAAGGCCACTGCACTACAATTATCGAAAGTTCGAAACAACAAAATCGCGTACGGTTAACAACAAAAGCGCGGTTTTCGTTTTGCCCCCATTCACAAGGCTAGTGTGCGTTTACTAGTTTTGGCACATGTAACGAGCAAAACCGTCCGCTGGACGCTTATTCCTCTGTGCAAAACGATTGCATCAAACTGGATGCAATCGTCTGCATGTACGTATGCAATCGTCTTCTAAGCCTACCGTGACCAAAGCCACGGTAGGCTTTGGTCGTGCTTTTGTGGTTTATTCGACGTTTTCAAGCACAACAAAAACCTTTAAGCAGCACTGTCGGAAGCAGCACTGTCGGTTTCTTATCTAGACGGCCGTTTCCGCACATTCCCTAATAAAAAATTGGATTTTTTATACTACTCGTACAAACGTAGTGGATTACTGGAACAGATGGTACTGATAGCAAAAAACGGTAACCCCCTTACAATGCGTTTTAAACTCAGTTTAACAAGTATAGCTGTTGGACTTTTTTTCAGTGAGATTCCCGAACCGGATGCTGCGCGAATAAATGGTTGTCACGCTGATGTGTACAAATCGACTGGCTACAGATTTTCATAAACCAATGCAAAAAGTGCTTGAAGTTGTACGAAATAAAAAGCTTCCGTGCGTGTACACAAAATTGATGCCGCCGTACCGTGTCACTACTCTTATTGAAAGATCTCTTTCTAAAGCTGTTAAAAAATAAATATTCTTGATAAACTGTAAAAAGATTATGCTGTTTGTTAATCCATATTTGGAAAATCAAAGATTACTGAGGAAGAAGTAGACCGCTTCCGTATTTTAAACAGAATGAAGTATTAGCATTCGCACATAAAAACGACATCTGGAGACGAAGTCAAAGCTGTACGTTAAATTACACCGTACTCCTTACGACGGCTCAAGTGGCTCTTGAAATGCATGGTAAGATTAATTTTGCACTTTCACTACAACCGTACTGACCGTTTGAATGCCTGGATCAGCCAATCCCCGTACATCTGCAGATCGTCGCCGGTGAAGTTGACCAAGAAGGTTGGCGGTGTTTCGAAAGCACCTTGCAGATCGGTAACAAATGCCTTAGGATTCTTCCACGAGGTATTCTGAATGAAAACTTCTCTAAGGAAAAGGTTGAAAAACTTGAATTTGATCCAAATAGGACGAAGCGCTGTCATAAAGCAAAAATGCTATGATTTTGCTGACTGAAACCAGCGGCCGCGCCCGCGATACGAGTATCCCCGGATAACGACCTGATCTGAGCAGATAATGATATGACGACTGCTCACTTTGAAAATAAGCACGTTCAACTTATAGTCTCGCATTTTCAGAACTTAGAAAAAAAAATTAAAAGCATAATTTTTAATTACTACGCTGTTTTTGTTTTTTTTCAAGCCTTTCGGTAGTACCAAACTCACATGGGTTCATCTGGAAAATCCTTTTGCGTCAGTACACATATCATTCCCGCTGTCTTTTTTCCAGCTTTTCGTGTGACGCGATCTTTGACTTTCATGACAAAATTCAGAGCAAAGTTATTGCTTCCCCGCTTCATTTGAGGAGGGCCGTAATAGGTTCGCCCTTTTCGTTCGGAGAATTCCTTTTTTTCCGGCGAATCCTGGAATGCAACAAAGCTAACTTTTTATATTGCGAACAAATATTTTTTTGCGAATTATTTGGACATTTTGCGTGTTTTCTATAGTATATATATTAACTTTTCTGTGCTGAAGCCAAAACACAAAGCCAAATCCAGTTTATGTTTTCACTTCAGAACTTTCTACCTTAGACATATCAAACATCAAAATTAATTTTTTCATAGGATTTACCGCAAAGGAAGCATCTGCGCTGGCAGAATTCCCGGTTCCGTTCCCGTCTGAAGGCATGGTTTACTGCAGTATTCCGAATCGTAGATCGATTTCAATGGATGTCAACCTGAACGCAGATATTATGCAGCAATAGCATTACTCAAGTACAGAAAGTCATCAATTATATTTAGTTATAACATATTCTTTCACAGATCGCATGTGTCAAAACTCAAAGCAGTAACAGTATTACCGATGGCAGCTACAACGAAAGCAAAATGGCGATGTATTTGTCCTATTGATCAGGCGTGCGCATGTGACCTATATAAACAGACTTTCTTTTTGTTTTGATTGGCAGACATATTTAGCCATGCATGAAGTGTCAAAGCCCCGCCATCTGGATTGACCATTGCCGCAGGCGCATGTACTCAGTAAATTTAATAGGCAAAATTTTGCCCCCGCTAATAGAATTAGAAAATCTCCGTTTTCTAGATTTTGCCCTCGCTAATAGAATTAGAAAATCTCCGTTTTCTAGATCTATGCAATACATTGTTAACATCTTATACCTTCGGCAACCCATTCTCGCAACTGTTATGTTGATATATTATTATTTCCTGTAAAGATTGAACATGGAAGATGACCAAAGCGTCTTGCAGTGTTTCCAGAGATATGGATCTACGAAAATTGCAAAACTTCAGCTTGCCGTCCAATCCTGCGAAATTGTTGACGTCATGGACGAAAGACTGCTCCATGTAGATGCTGCGTGAATTTCCGTATTACGCTACTCAAAAAAGTGCACTTGCATTGGCTTCTTGCGACCCTAAACCAATGTTTCGAAGTAGAGTATAGGCTTTACTACAGCGTATGATTGTCGTGTGGCACATTCAGCCACTGGACTAAGTTTTTCAAGATTTGCACAGAGTATCCACAGACAGACAACACCGATTGTCTGTAATCGTAAGGCAAGCGTGCATAAGCAAAATCCATCGCCCTGATCATCGTAGATATTTGCTTTATTCAAGAATGCAGGCAAATGTGCATCGTAGCTTGTGAGACTAGAGATTTTGGCCAAATCGGCGAAACTCACGGCACTATAAATGAATCACTGTGCCCATGTGTTATCTGTTACTGACTGTTGAAACATTTGTCACACAGTCGCGTAACACAATTTTCAAAAAAGGGAAGAACGTCGGGATCACTTGCAAATTGCACGTAACTTAAGTTTGTGATGGCACGCAAGAATATTATGGTGGGTCTCAGATCGTTGTAGCGAACCTCGCTAATTGCTGAGATACGGTTGCTCGACCACGCGAGGTGACTGTACATAAGCATAAGTGGACACGGTTTCAGATACGATACGCGAAGCCTCCCAATGAAATGCGAGTTGCTGCGTCGTAACTACAGCCTTATCGCACCAAATGCGGAAACTTTTTTCACAAAAATCACTAAAGGTCAGCCGTCGACAAATGCAACAGTATTCTATATTTGTTTTTGCTGCAAAATCAGTCGGAGATGTAGACAATTAACTGCTTCCTTCCGTACAAAAAGAGACCTCAAGATCTTCGGCAGCATAATCAAGTGCAAAATTCGGCCCCACAATTTACTAAGCCGTTAAGCCTAGAAGATTGATAAATCCGCTAAAAACTCAATTTTCGCCTTTCAGGTCGTCAGTTCTTCAGTTGGACTAGGCGCCGAAGAGTTGCGCAATATGTACATTGACGTGTCAGGAAGAGCACCGAACCTACTTCGCGGCAGTGTATCGGGTGCGAAAGTGAAAGAAATATTTCTTTTCCCGCCGACCAAGCACTGTCTTAATGGATGCCTGTATGAGCGTGGAGATCAGAAAGGCTATCCGTTGGAACTTTCGTATCACAATGATCCTGCAGAGGTAAGTTGTTTCTAGTGATGGTAATCAACTGTATATTTTTCGAAAACTCAAGCGGACTTATCCAGGCACAGGCCCGTAGCGGGACCCCTCGCCCATTTTCGAAAATGTACTTCTCCCACAATTTTTATTCGAAAATTTTTCTGAATACACCATTAAACTCGCCGTGAAATTCTGTACAAAACGGTTGAGGCCGATTTTCGAAATTCGTTTTCCCCCCAAGTCGGAATCAGTGGGCGGTCGCTGTTACGACAGCGTGCCTTTTCGGGAATTCCCTTGCGCGTTTTCAAAATTGTACTCCTTCCACAATTTTCATCCCATAATTTTTCTGAATGTACCATTGAAATCGCCGTAAAATTCTGAACAAAATGGTTGAAAGGGATTCTTGAATTTCGTTCATCGGAAAATTCGTCTTCCCGGGCGGTCGCCAATACGACAACGCAGTTCTTGGGGCGTTTCCCCCTGGCCAAGGGGAATAGCCCCAAGGCTGGGGTGTCGGATTGGCGACCGCCCGTGGATGTCGATTTCTGGGGGTAAACGAATTTCAAAAATCGGCCTCGACTGTTTTGTTCAGAATTTCACGGCGAGTTCAACGGTGTATTCAGAAAAAGTATCCGATGAAAACTGTGGGAGGAGTACATTTTTGAAAATGGGCGAGGGGTCTCCCTACGGGCCTGTGGACCAGGCATATAAAAAACCAGAGCATTATAATTCTCAGTTACGATGTATTTGGCTAACCTGAAATCTCCCCATGTGTGACAGTGTAAGCGAATAAATTGAAAATAATTTAAATGTGCTAGCGGTACTTTGTTCCCGCAGGTGGAAGTAATTTTAGTTTTTAATGGCATTGTAGGCGATCTTGTTCAATTTGGATGGAAGTACTGTGGTTGTTCATCGTTTCGGTACACGATGCCGAAGATGCGACTCTCGGTACTTGTACGACATGTACCTTGACAGGAAGGCTACGAATCGCTATTACTACTACGATCACCAGCGCAAATTTGTTCGAGTGTCGCAAGACGTGATGTGGAGCCGAGAATTATGTGTCTTGTTGGTGGAATCTATGTTAGTAAATTATACTTAGGTTTCTCATGGCCCATGCTCAAGCTCGGACTTAGACTCGGATTGGAATACTAAAACTTGGACTCGGACCCGGACCACACTTGGACTTCTATACTTGGACTTCCAAACTTGGACTTGGACTCTTCAACTTGGACTTCAACTTGGACTTGGATTCGTCAACTGCGACTTTTCTTAGGTTTCTTAGGTTTTTTAGGTTTCTTAGGTTTCTTAGGTTTCTTAGGTTTCTTAGGTTTCTTAGGTTTCTTAGGTTTCTTAGGTTTCTTAGGTTTCTTAGGTTTCTTAGGTTTTTTAGGTTTTTAAGTTTCGTAGGTTGTTTAGGTTTACTAGTTTTTTTCTGAAGAGAGTTCTAAGTTAGAAATCCAAGTGTTGAAGTCTAAATTAGAAGTCCAAGTTAGGAAGTCCAGCTTAGAATTCCAAGTCCAAGTTATGAAGTCCAAGTGTTGTCCAAGTCCAAGTTTTCGTAGTCCAAGTCCGAACTTGAGGGCGGGCCGTTTCTTATGTTCTGCTTGTGTGGAATATTTTGCCGTTGCAGTCTTCATTGCCGAGCAACATTCGAAGGTTTCACTACGACTTACCGCGAATGCTTCGGCATAACTAACAGTAAGCAATACATAAAAACTAAAGTTCTATATTTCCCGGCACTGGGTATCTGGATGACAGCAATCATTGTTTCTGCTGCTAAAAGTGTAACTGACAGCAACAATGATCGTGTAGGAGTCTGGCATTAGTATTGGCAGCCATATCAAGTGGCTCTGTAACTGGTGATAGCTATAGCACTGGTACTATTACTGCCAATGGCAGTGACTCATGCGACACCGAAAATTCAGAAACTACAGCTGCAGCACGTGTAGTACGGAGGCAGCAAGGAATACTTGTGAACGCAGCTGCTTCCAAAATAGAGTAAGGCGGTCGAGAAAACAAGCGATTACACAAGTCCAAAAAATTAACCGTAGTTTATATTGACCCGTTTAATCGGTTGTCAATTTTTGCAGACTTGTCCGCACGATATGTCATATCTAATCGTGCATAATTCCCGAAGTTCATCCTTATTACTTATATACACAACAGTTAATGAAGTTTTATAAATTCTAGGATTTTAACTGTTATAAAAATACGTCAGATATATTTCGTCTGATTAGGCACGTTGAGTGGCTCCTATCACTTAACTAATGATGCCGTTACGCAGCCTTACGCTTATACCACGTTAAGTGTTCTTAGGTTACACTTTGTAGATGTCGGGACCGATTATTATAAAATGCGCAATTTAAAATTTTATACCTCATGCTGTACCCATCAGTCAATTTTTTTCAGGCATCAGCCAACAAATGTTTTTTGCGATTATCGCTACATCGAGATGTTCGAACATTTGTCGACACATTAAGTAACACTAGAACATTTGCTGCTAACTGAACTGGTCGCGCAGGCTGGAACAATTACTCAACCGCAGCGGCTTTTTTCGCGCATGAGATTGAAGATGAAGTACGCGGAACCCCACTCCAAAGCCTCGGTTTTCTTAACGACACTGATATTGACTCCATTTTGCCAGCTATCGAAAATGCTCGCTGTGCGTCGTATTAACCGCATACGGAAACTGCAAAATGTCGTGAGCGTGGTAGTGGAGTTTTGTGGGCGGTGGACGGGATTTGGAAAGTCGGTTTTCCACACTGTGCTTTTGTTCAACAGGCACGTTCTACGTATTTCATACATTAAAGATACAAGATATAGTTAATTCAAGTGCGCGCACATTGAAACAAGTATCTAACTATTCTGTATCTAATATGTAGAATGTTGTGGAGAATGTTAATCTGGTGAACTACCCTGATATATGTTCGAATGAACTCTAATGCTAGATCCAACTGTGATCCAGATACGGAGACCTAAACGGAATAGATCCCGTGGAAGTGAGCAATGCGATCTGGATTGCGAACTACGCGAAATCACGAAACGTCGCACCGCTAATTGCTGACTTTTTAATAAATTGAAAATCCCGACAACAGAAAATCAATAATGATCGGCGCAGCTCGATCGTAAAGCGTGGAGCCCGTTCAACAGTATGTATTACTGTGCAGCACGTGCTATGCCGCGCCCACTAACAAAACGTAAGTCAATCAGAGGCGAGACACAACACGTAGCGTAGCGTTGCGGACGTGAACGCTAGTGAACCCCCGCTCACATGCCTCTGGGGGGATGCCGAGCTCCTGTGAGGCTGGACACACTCCCGAATCCACGAAAACGGCGGTCGCCGGTGTCTGTGTGTGCTCAAAAACATCAAATTCTCTTAATCCATTTTATCACATCAATTCCGTAAAGGCACAGTTTCACTTAATACGATGTGAATAAAGAGATCCAATTATAAAAATACTATCATCATATAAACAGATCAACAGTTAAACAGATCAACAGAAGTTTTTTAATCAAATGTAGACTAGGATCCTCCATTTCTGACTCGTAAGGGTCACAGGTCCTGTCCACCGTTTTCCGCACTTTGGCCCATTCCGCTCTGTTGAGCAATCCTTCGCATCCATAATGCGACTTTTCATCACAATCCGCTTGAGAATCAGGTGCGTATCAAGTACGACTTAAGAATACTGCTTCAATCTTTGGAATATGGTGCGTATCATTCGTACGACTTCAAAATGAGATCCAATAACGGTCATGGAGGGACGTCAATGAAGACAAGCGTAGTTCGCTTCCTCCCTGGTAAAGGTCATCCTTTGTTGAGATGATCCGTTGAGATGTGCGACTCATTTTGGGTTAATAGTCCCAAAGGTCACGCGACTTGAATTCCGTTACGGTGACTCTGTTGGGCAATTTATGATCCCAAAGGTCATCTCACTCTGCAAAACTTCCGTTAAAGGTCATGGAGGAACTTAGCCAATTTTCTGCGGCTTTCAAGCACTTCTTTGCTTGCCTCCCTGGTAGATACTTGAGTTGACCTTTACGTCGCACATCCAACTTCAACCTGCCTCGAGCGGCCAGAGTGCTGGCAAGTTTACCGTAGCATCTCTGATGGGGCCGGCTAGTTACCGCATTAAGTTTACCCCATGAGATTTCCACATTTAATCTTTTATTCTTGTCCGCCGCCTGTGGCCCATGTTAATACGAGAAATCCGGCTCGGTTACCGTAGTTTTTCTCGTGTCACCTTTAACACTGAATCGTTTAAGAAGAGTGCCGGCACAGTTTACCGTAACAACTCTAATGAGGCCGGCTGACTGCCGCATTAAGTAAACCTCATCAACATTCCACCTGTTGTCTTTCTCTTTTTCGCCGCCTGTGGCCCACTTTCGTTTGCAAGAGATCCGGCTTGATTACCGTAGTTTCTCTTGTGCATTCATAACACTGAGTCGCTTAGAGAGGAGAGCCGGCTAACTACCGTAACTACTCCCTTGGGGCCGGCTTTGTAGACCGAATCAGTTTCAACCCCAATAGTATTCCACATGATTTCTTTATCCTTGCGGTTTCTGTGCTATAAACGCTGCAAACAACAAATACACGAATACAGTTATGTTAACATGTCACATATCACGCCCTGTATACCACACCAATTTTCATCTCTGTGACGTACCGACAAAATGCCGTAGACGTCCTTTGATAGTGTGATCCTAACAATCAACACTATTCCATTTCATTTGAATCGTCCTCGCCATCTCTTGGCGGGCGTTTCTTAGCACTTTCCGGTTGATTTCGGTCGGAAGTGCGGTCAACTGGCTGCGTCAAGTCAACTTGCATGACCTTTTCCGGGTCAATTTCTCGCTGGCCACGACCTTTCCTTGACGATTACGCTTAACCGCCTCTAGTCGATGGCGCGCATCATTTTCCTCCAGTCGCAGTCTTCGATTATCGGGGTCAGCTGCCAATCGACGCTGTACATCGGCAAGGTTAGCTCGAAGCTGCTGATTTCGTAGGCCACGTCGTCCTATCTGGTTAGACGCACGGTCTGGGCGACGGTCACTTTTCTTCACCAAGAATTCATCAATGTAGGTTTCGATTCCGTCCACCGGTTCGACGTAGTCGCTTCCCAGAGAATCTTTGATCTTATTAATCCTTTCTTCAACTGGGGATGCATGGCGCTGTGTCAAGTTGCCCTTTTCCATCCGTGTCTTACACTTCTTCAGCGCCTTGCGAGCCGTATGCGCTATGCTGATGTGTTCCATCGGTTGTCCCAATTTAGCGACGTGAGCCCGGAAAAATGGTGGGATGTCGTCTCTCATGGTATTGGATACCAGCTGGTTCTGTGTCTTATAATGTGCCAGTCTCGCAGCGAAGACCTTTTGCCCCATTCTCTTTGCGGCATAATCTGTGGGATCCACTTGAAGTCCTACTGATGCTCTGGCTGCGAGCAACTTGAAGGCTGGATTCACATGTCGTAAAACAAACTGAGCCACGTATTCTTGTCGTTCGGGATAGTCTCTGTAATAGAACTGTGTCATCCCGATTGGGTCAGTTGTATCCACCGGTACATCCAATAAACTCAAATCCACCAAACTGTGTAGCCCGTTCCGTCGGATGGGGAGATAACAGTCCCGTACCGAATCGCGGTGGATGAATAACCGACGAAAAAGTCCTTGTTCCACCCCCTGTTTAATCTCTCTCGCATATCCTGAGTCAAGTAAGAATTGGCGCAGCTGATTCAGCATCGTACCAATCTTGTTAGCTTCGGCTGAGTCCGACTCTATTCCGAAGTACCGACAAATTTCAACCGTTTGCTCGTCAATATCATTCCATATCGATGGTATCCGGCTGTCGGTTATCGAATCTGGAGTTCTGTCGCTGTTCAGCCTGGCGATGATTATCCGGTTCACGTTGACCTTCTAGTTCACGTCTCTCTCCTGACTCAGGCTTCATTACTCGCCGGTGTAGCCGGTTGAAGGTCACTATCCAGAATCACATTTCGTCGATGGGTCACATTCTCTTGAGATGCGGTTTCCACAACTGAGCTAGTTCCTTCCATCGCATCGTCTTCTTGAACGGTGCTTACAATTGGATCCACCACATGGACTGTTGACTCCATTCGCTGATACTTTGGGGGTGAATCTTCCCGTTCCGCGCTTGATGACCTTTTGCTTGCGCCCGAATCAAAGGTCGCATAAAATGCAGCCCTCTGTTGCCATCTTTTATCCTGTGGGTCGGGTGTTCGATTCCGCGTTTGTTCGCGTCTTTTGTCCCATGACCTTTCGAGTGTTGACATTCTGACATTGCGATTCCGGAATGCAACTCCCATTGGCACCTGATGCCCTTGCTTTTCAGGTTCTGTACGGAATGTCTCCGCACGCCGTTTTTCTTCACGTTCTCTCGTCGCCGCCAAAATCTTTGCCGTATCGATTTTCCTCTGAATACTCATTTCTGTTATTTCGTTTCCATGGCGCACCCATCCTCTTCCGCCACGGTAATCTCTATCATGAGAACGTTCGCGTGACCTTTCACTGTGGTAGTCACGTGTCCTTTCACGAGAGTGTTCACGTGACCTTTCGCTCCGTCTTTCAGAAATCCGTTCATGTTCACGTGAATGTCCGCGTGACCTTTCTCTATGCGGAGGCGACCGTGGTCGTATGAAGCCTTCGTCCCGTTTAAAACTTCTGAGTGCTTGCAGCACATCGCTTTCGGTTCGGCGAGATTTACGTAGTTCATCCATACGTCTTTCGACTTCCTTCTTTATGTATGGTGCCGGCGCGAACCCGTCTTGCAGTCGTTTCTTCTCCCGCAACAGCATTTTGAATAACTCGTCTGGCATAGCAGCTGGATCTTTCGTTAGCGTTTCGATTTGTATGATGAGGGACTGACGTGTCAGCTGCACTTCTTCTTCGTTTAGGCTGGCTGTGGGTCCGGTTGAACTCGACGTACTGGGCAACCCCTCTCGTGCAGCCTGTTCACTTGCTCTCTTATTTTCCGCATTAATCTTCGCGCGGATTTCGTCTTCCATCTGCTGAGCTCGCATCTTCGCTTGGTCTTCTTCGAACTTCTTCCGATATGCGTCTGTTTGTGGACATTTCAACGGCTCCAAGGTGTCATCCCAACCAGGTTCATTGTTCCGGATCGCTTCTCGATAACGATCTTCGAATAGCATTCGCTCTTCTACTGGGATGCTGCCGTAATTTCTTGTGCTTATGAGATTTCGAAAAACGTCCAAGTTCCCACGTTTGGCTTCCATGATCCCAACAAGCGTGACGGCATGTGGGTCTTCCAGCTTGTGAATACAAGTGTAGCAAGGGAATTTCTTATCAACCTTTTTGTTGTTCCATAAGCAGTCCGGACACTTTGGATTATAGCCCGTAAACTGATCGATGTCTGCCGCCATTCCCGAACGTTTAGGAGTGGCTTGACCATTTTGTGCCATCTTTCTTCTTCAATCTGCAATTATAAAACAATCCGTCATAGTAACCTTTTCCACGTCAATCTTTTCCATTCCTATCCATGTCAAGGCTTTTCTATCATTTTTACGCCTATTCCGTTACTGAGCTGAGACTTTCCTAGCTCCTGCTGCCTTTTTCTTATCACTGTAACGTGGTGACCTTTCTCACGTTATCAGCACTCTCTGACTACTGTGACCTTTTCTATTAGTCCTAGTACTGTTCAAGTGACCTTTCGTCATACTTTTCTCTTTCGTTTTGAACTATTTTATGCTTTTTCTGTAATATGCAGGGTTCATTACTCGCTGCATATTACACTGTCGACATTCATTCTGCTTCTTTCTCCGGTGGTGGTAACGGTGGGAAATCTATCCGGCCGTCGCTGTTGATGTGAACCGCTTCGTCCGCGATCAAAGCTTCCACCGCATTCTTGATCCATTCCTTATCTTTCTCGATGTTCAATTCGCCCAATTCATAATGAACGGCCATGAAATTTGAAAGGTCGCCCCATGAGGCTCCGTTGGTACCGCCAATGGCGTCCAAAGCCACGTCTGTAATGGCTATCTTCCATGCCTCTAATACCATTGGGAGTCTGGGAGTGCGGTCTCGGCCCTGTTTCGGAAGATAATAGATGATCTTGTTGTCTTTGTTATATTTACATCTCAATCTCCCTTCCTTATATGCTCGTTTGAGGACTCTTTCGGTCATATTGAGTGACGACCTCCCCTTCGAGTTTTCAGCCACTTGTCTCTTCAGTTCGGGGCCAAGCAGTTCGCCTTCTCTGACCATCTGGAGCGTATTTTGGACTTCCTTCCATGTACGGTTATTTACATCCAATGGTGGTCCTAACGTATAATCTGTCGGTTCTTTTACTGGCGTACCGCTGCTTTTCTGAGAGGATGCTGAGTCCGTTTGGTCTGCTGTCTCGTCGATCCTCAACTTTGCCAGTGATCCTGATGATGACCCCGCCGATTTTGGTTCGGCTGTCTTCTTCTCCTCTTGCGGCAAGGTTTCTTGACCTTTTAGATCGCCGACCGACTTCGATCGTTCCTTCTCAAAGACTTGTTTTAATGGCGCAAACAGTGATTTATGAAACACCTGTTGCGCCGAATCCGCTTCAGCTTCTGCCGCTGCCTTGTCCATCGGGAGCATGACCTTTTCTTTCTCCCGTTTGTCTGAAGTCTCGTGACCTTTCGGTTGAACTCCTGCGGTAGTTTCCGATGTCTCTTGACCTTTCGACTGTTCATCTTTTTCTGTCGCAGGTCCAGGAGGAGCTGTTGTAGCATCGTCATCGCTTTCCTCCGCCTCGTCATCCATCGGTCCCCTGGTCCTCGACACTTTCGGGGCCTGCGATTTAAGCCGAGCTGCTTCTTCTTCAGCCGTTTTCTGTGCAATCTGGTCCAATATCGGAGTTGACGTGTCTCCACTCAACGGGACTGTGACCTTTTCCGTATCTTGACTGTCAGACATATGACAGTAGATCTGTCTTCCCGGTGGTATCAGACCAACTCTTGTGTATCGAATTGGATGTCCTTTATTCGCGTTCGTTGTGGAGAGGACGTTCTGTTTAATCATCTTGGGCAACACGCGTTCAGTGGCCGTATCAATCTCCTTTATCATTCCATTCCCGTCGTTCCAGACTGCGTTAATATATTGGCTAATCCGATGACTCGTTGACCCCAACGGGCTTGTCGTTCCTGCGATTGCCCTTTCTACCCGCATTGGGACCGCTTCATTCGGAGTTGTCAGCGCTTTATCCGAACTGGCTGGCCTGAACAACTTGGCCTCATACGAAAAACTCGGGTGCTTCTGGATAAGTTTTCCTGCGTTCCGCGCAAATTCCAATACGACGTCGAACTTTTGTTTAGTGAAGCTACGACGCTGTTTCTTCAAATATGTGTTCAGGCCCGCTTTGAATTTCGATGTCACCGATGCTGTTCTTATCCGTGTGAAATTTTTCTCCGCACCGTTATACGCGTTGATGATTTCATCGACCGTGGTCAGGTTATCATTGTCTGGGCCTTCAAATTCTTCATCCAAGGTGAAGTCCAGCTCACTCTCTCCATCTGGTTCAGTGTAATTAACCATTGCTAATGCATCGATTTTCGTGACTGTCTTGCCCTTTCCTTTGGTCTTAACGGGTTCGCTCTTTGCTTTTTTCCCTTTATCCAGAGCTTCCGCTAAGCTTCTTGGCTCAGTAGTCCTTGATCGTGTCGTTTTCGAATCGGTATGTGACCTTGCACTGACCGTCGAAGTGCTTGGAAGGCTATCTTCCGATGCCTCCGATTCACGCGACGTCTCCCGTTTCGCTTTTTCACGAATCTGTTTGTCCTTGCGCTCTTTTGGCGTGGATGCCGAAATGACAATGGGGACAACTTGTTTCACTGCTATGACCTTTCCTTTGGGGGCCGGCGACTCAGGCTCAGTGACCTTTGATTTTGATGTAGCCGATTGGATAACTTTCTTTGAAGTCGTGGGTGTCGATGACCTTTCTTCAACTTCGCCGACTGATTCGTCCAGTATCTCAACATCATGAGGCGCTGGTTCATCTCTTTTCTTTGACCCTTCCTTTTTCTTCTTCCCGGTGCTTGTGCTATTGCTTTCATCACCGCTCTTTTTCTTCTTATCTTCTTCCTTCTCTTGTTTCTTTTTATCCTCTTCTTCCCTTCGTTTTTTCAGGAAATCACCTTTCTTAACCGTTTTTTCGCGGTTCATAACTTCTTCCAATTTGGGTGCTTTCCTCGGCTTAACTACCTTTGAAGGCTTTTTATGCTTATCGGCCGTTTCTTCGTCCTCCTCGGCATTTTCCTCTGCCGAATCGTCATCGTCTTCTTCTTCTTCTGATTCGTCCTCCTTTGACGATCGTCTGGCGCCTCCAGCTTCTTCGGCTCCGGTGACTGGGGTGTCTTCCATTTCTCTGGCTCCTCCTTCTTGTGCCCGGGGTTGAATTTCCAAGTGGGGTGTTTCTTTCGACTGTCCGGGTGAGGCGACCTCCCACAAAGGGTTTTTATTTGCGTCGTAAAATACCGTTTTGTATGATCCATCTTCCATTCGTCTTGTAAGCCGGAAATGCGCTTCATCCATCTCCGCCCGATGCCTCATCATACTGATCAGTGTACTTGCTTGGACTACCGCATCTTCCCGGTCACTTTCAGGTATCAGATTCCATAACTGCTCAATGGCTGCCTGATTCGCATTTTGGGCATTTTCTTCTGATACGTCCCATGGAGCATATGGAACCGGGTCTCCTGTTATTGGGTCGACTATCACAGCAGTTATGGTTTCCACAACTTCTCCGTTACCAGCGAAAAGTCTGAGGGTGACCTTTCTACATGTCGCCTCTGTATATCTCAGGACCGACTCGTAATCATCTGACGATCGTTTCTTCGGGTCTGGATCCGCCGTCGGCTTTGAACGGATTCTCTCTTTAGTCAACATTTTGCCGTCCGTTGTATATGTATATGCCAAGTGGTCGTCGTTTGTGCCCACTTTAATACGGATCCATGCATCTTCTTCGGTCGCAACTTTAGAGACAACGTGCTTCAGCATCTGAATGAGAACTCTTGGATTGTGACGTTCTTCTGGAAGCACAAACTGTAATGCCTCGTTGACTGTCATTTTTGCCTGTTCCCCGATAGCGTCCTTAACTGACCTATCCGCAAGGGGATTATACGAATCGATCTCTTTATTCGTTTTCCGATCGACAATACGCGCCGTAACCTTTCGTTCTTTATGGTCTGTCCCGGTGTATTTAGCCGTAAAACTCCTGCATTTCGGGAACCGAATCTGACCTTCTGTTCCCGCTGGCGTGGGTGGCGCGCTCTTTCTACCCACCGGAATCGGGGCCTGTGGCTTTGCCGGTTTAACTGGTATTGCTTTATTTGCTGTGGTCTTCTTTGTTCGCTGCCCTTTCTTGTGTTCAGTCTCTTTTGGGCTTATCGTCGGTGACCTTACCCTTTTTCCACTCTTCGTAGCCCCGCTAGATGGTTCTGTAACCGAACTAGTACGTCCACGAACTGATCCTGCGACCGAACTGGCCCGTGACTTCTCTGCTCGTTCGGTTAATTCGGCATCGATCTTCCTCTTTGTTGCCAAAAGGTCCTCGTCCGTCATTTCATCGACCGGGGCGTCTTTTTCAGCTATGGGCTTGGATGGTCCCGCGACGCTGGTAGTCGGTATCTGTCTTGTTTCCGGGAACACTTTGAGATACCTAAGGATCTTTTCGACAGTCTCCGGCCACCTTCTACCTTTTATCGTCGGATGATATTGCCACATCGATGCAACTTGTATTGCGTATTCCTTGCGCTTTGCTTCAACCTGTTTCGTTTTATCTTTCATGGCAATGTGGCACGGTTTGATAACAGTTTCCAGACTGATTAACTTTCCATACCATGCGTGTTCATCTTCAACTCGCATGTGGATTCTGTAAAGGTCACGGCATTTCCGATTGAAGTCACGAATGGCTTCTAAGTCGGTTTCCGTCAGCTTTTCCTTTTTATCCACGATTAAATTCAGGTTTGGGTCATCGTCCCTCAAGTCCAAAGGGAGCTTCGGTGCGTATTCGTGTAATGAGGGTTCGCCTGGGGGCGTAAGCCGTAAGCCATCTGGTCCAGTCTGCTCCAAGTTGGGACCCAGTGACGGTAGAATGCCTCTCGGTCGCCTTCCTCCTCTGTGTGGCGAATTACGATGAGGGCGCTGCGCTCCAAGTTGCTGCGGTGTTCTCATGCGAGGCGTTCCTATGTCCGACAATGACAAGCCTCCCGTCTCCGGAAAAGGCGGTAGTATCGGAGATGACCTTTGTGACTGTACCGGAGTCGCTAGCATTCCGCTGAATCCTCCTTGTCCCGTAAATCGATTCGGTGGAGTCTGTTGTGGTGGCGGCATCAGCATTCTTGCCGGTCCCATTATCACCTGCGATGATCCCGGTGGGGTGTACGATCCCGGATACGGTTGATAGGGGGCGCCCATCGCTTGTCCCGAATACTGGGTTCCGGCAGGTGA